TCAACCACACAGCAGGAGAATGGACTGGCCATTGAGGAAGATCAAAGATGCCACCCCTCTGCTGTTTGCCACTCTGACTTGGTGGCCTTGTGGCAAATTTGGCCCTTAACAAGGGGTGTAACAAGGTTATTTTATAAAATGCCAATTTCTATTGAAATCTGCACTTTTTGTAAAATGAAATTGAAAAAGGAAAAACGAGGACACACTTGGGCAAAGCACTACTTTTGATAATTATGATATATTTCAGACATTGCTGTATTCATGTTTTTGTAACTTCTAAAATCATTTCATTACCTCAAAGCTTACCTCAATAAAGGTTATTTTGATGTTTCGCACTGTGGTTCTCAATACTTACAAAAATATTGTGGCATACAATTATTGTAATGCACTTTATGTGAAAAGTCCATATTTTTTTTTTTCTCTTTAGTAGCAGGTTCAGAGATAGTGTACAATGATAAAGGAATAGCATTGTTACGGTATAACCCGGGTATCGTGGGTTAATACTGAATAGGAAGTTCACCTTATTATGGGAATAGCAACTCACAAACGCTTCAATCCACCAAACTGAGAATCAGACGAAATCCTTCTCTCCTGGAACAGGCAAAATAATGCTCCAAAGTAGCAATCCCCCCCAAACACGAGACCAAGCTCTGTCTTGTGGGTAAAACAGGATTCTGGTTTATTGAGGGCTACCAGCACGGTATTTATGCAGGTCTCCCACCTGGTGGACACTCCCCTAGGGGACCAGATGGAAGACTGGGACAAATGAGGTACAGTAGCCAATCACAGTGGCTCAGGTATAAACACTCCCCTTTGTACAGGTAAACCCCTCCTCTCTATCCTGGAGATAATTGGGAAGAAATCCAATTATCTCCAGGGATAGAGGCAAACCGCCATTTTACATGGTATAATAAAAACACATAAAAATCCATAAATGTAAAACTACTGAATGCATTTAATTCGTATAACGTATCCCCAGATAGCCTAGATCTGAGCGCACATTATTACCGAATAGCGCTCAGACCCAATGCACACAGTTCAATCGCCATGGAGTCAAAGTCTTCCACACTGTTCTTTCGGTATACGAATAACTCCATGGGATTGCTATTTGGGTTAAGTCCATTCGTACAATAAAAAGTCTCGAACGAACTGGCGTTCGTATGTCCGATGATAAGAAGGGCGGTCGGCAGTTTCAGCGGTGTTCGGTAGAAAAAGTGTCCGGTTTGAGTTCCATAAGTTCATCGTTGAACACCGCCGTTCATTCGTGTGTTTAAAATGGCTGCCACCTCGTGGTCGACATACGAACGACGACCACCCAGCATACGGTTCTAATTAAGAGGTGTCTGAGGTTAACCACAATGTTCTAATTGAGGCCAATAGGTTAACCAGCAGCACACTTCTCTTCTGGGTGGCCGGCTGTTCGGTAGTTTTATTCGGTATAAACTGAAATAAACGAACAGGGACGTATGGGCAGGTAATTCTACGAATGTATAACAAAATAGACGAACCAGCAGATAGTACTTAGACAGATGGATCTGTCATAAGCATATAAAAGAACTGTGTATACCAGGGGTAGTCAACCTGGTCCCTACCACCCACTAGTGGGCAATTTGGGATTTCAGATGGGCGGTTCTGCCGAAAACGCCTGGTGGGCCTCAATGGTTGGTGAGGGGATCTGCAAAAAGGGTCTGGACAACCCCTGAATGGTCCAAGGAAGCATACTAAGAGAGTCATATGATGGTATGACTCCAACTTTGTGAGTGAAACCACTATTTATCCTTTTATTGTATACTATTGAATAGACATACTACGCTATTTTGTATATATACCATTGTGTTTTACAGATCATTCAAGGTTTAAAGCAGCTCCGCCTATCATTTTGTATGTATTTATATGTAGGGGATACCACATATTAGGTGTATTTAGAGCTGCTCACTTTTTTCTTTCTTCCACTTTATGTACAATTTTCTTTTATGGGATGAAAGATCTCCCTCACCGGCCCACTGGCTCTTAATTTCAACAGAGGGAGGGAAGGGCCTGGGAGGCTCTGTGTTCCTCCTACGATTGCCGCACGTTACCATGGCAATGCTCCGATACAGTGCTGTGCTCGCAGGTGGACAGGAGAGTCAGTCTGCAGCCAGAGGAGCTGCAGGCTAAAGTGAACATGCCACCAATGGACCACCAGGGCTTGCAGCATTATGTACCCCCTCCCTGGTTAAAGTAAGAAGAAGGGAGGGGGAGACATTAAGATAGAACTTCACATTTTACCCACCTACACACAGCATTGACCCTATGCAACACACAGGACACCTCTCACACACTACCCCACACTGCCCCCCCCACAAACACACTGCCCCCTCACATAGACTTCCTCCTCACACACTGCACCCTCCACACATACAGCACCCCTCTCACACACACACACACCACACCACTCATACACAGCATCCTTCACACACTGCACCCTTCACACACTCCCCCAGACACACTTCCCCCTCACACACTGCACACCTCACACACTGCACACACACACAGCACCCTTCACACGCAAACACACAGCACCTCACTAACACACATAAAAAAAAGGTAGACTAGAAAATAGAAAAAAAAAAAAATTTAAGTACACATTAAAAAAAAAACCCTCCTTTCTAAAAAAATTTTTGTTTGTTTTTTTAATCACACTTGCAGGTGACTTGGGCATTGGTGGGCGGAAATTTTACTATCAACAAAGATACAAAAGTGGGCGGTAGGTATTAAAAGGTTGACTACCCCATGTGTATACAATGTGTCTAAAAAGTAGACAGTAAAGCTAGTACAATAATGTATTGATACTAATAAAATGTCATAAACAATGTTCCAAAGAATGCACAGTATATAATACACATATAATACAAAGTATATAAAACCACCTAAAATATTTTTTATAGATAATCAAGAGAGTCCAAATATGTTCCTAAGGGTTTCTGCCAGATGCGATAGGACACTATATTGGTGAGGAGTGTGCATAGGCATACAGCTACCTATAGTGTCTCTGTAGCTGATATACTGTATGTCAAAATAAGTAGCGCTCAAATATTTGTCTGACCTGCTTGATAGCAGGTCCAGTAGTGTGGGCTGATGGTTTGGAGTGTTAGGGGTGATAGGTCAGGATGGTATTGTATATCCAGAGTGAGATCGCTGATACAGCGTGTCTCCCTGTCAGCTCCTGCTTGCGACAATAGTATATCCTCCCGCTGTACCATTTTGGGATCTAAATATAAAAGAACGAACACATTTTTAGTTTTTTGAAGAACTCAAAAATATGTGACACTGAATAGTTCAGTTGATATAGCTGATTAACGTAAAATTAAATAAAAAGTGACGTTGGGGTTTATTATTATACCTAGCGAAGGTAAGGGCTTACTTTGTTGATGAGTGCTGATTTACTCGATATAAGCTTGAAGCTTACGGATATCTCACAATAAACTTCTAATATCCACCTTGGTAGGGGGGGGGAGTTTGGTCATCTTCTTCTGACAGAGATAAATCACGATCCTACATTGTTGGAATAGAATCGAGAGTATACTATTCCTGATCTTCAGCTGACGTGAAGTCGCCATCTAAGGCCTCTACTTTGAGTAAAATAAGTTCCCAATCTCACAGGTTTTCTCCTCCATACCATGCTTTAGCTTCTGGGAACGTTTACCTAGAAGTGCAGACAGGGTCGTCTTTGGCGCAGGGCAAATGGGGCATCTGCCCCAGGCCCAGTTCCTCCTGAGGGGCCACAGAGCAGCTGCCCCATGGGCCCCGCAATTTGAGCAGCCCCCATGTACCTGGGGGTGCGGCTGTACCAGCCCGCCAACTAAGAAGGCCCCCCGGGTGGCCCATGCAATAAGGGACACCCAGAGACCATGTGTTAGCAGGGGCCCGGTCGGACGCTGTGACGCTTAAACAGCTCTAACGGGCGCCTTCCTGTACCGGCTGGGCGGAAGTGAGTGCCGCGCGTTACCTCTTAGACATAAGCAATCAACATAACTCCTCCTGCCTAAAGCTGTCAGCACTTCATTATTCTGCTAATTTGGGACCTGAAGTCCTGCATTTATCTCATCCTGCTCCAGTTCCAAACCCTACTCCATACTCTGATTCAGTTCCTGCACCCATCTAAAGCTTTCCCTGGACCTATACTCTTAACCTCATCCTATCTCTACTCTTACATGATTGTTGGATTACTGATTCTTTGCTTACCTTGTTGGATACATCTTGCCTCTGGATAGCCTGTGTAACAGCTACCCAGGTTGTAGAGGGGTATCTGCAAGATGCTGTGCTGTAATGGAGCTGCCATATCCCATCTGCTGGATCTTTGTAGAGAGAGAAGCCGAGCTCTTAAAAGAGCTAGTGATTATGCTGAGCAGGTTCCCTTTCAATAACGAGACGAGGCTATGTTTGGAAGGGTGAAGTAGAACTGGTTTAATGACCACACAAGCAGCTGCTTTTATGCTGGTTTTACAGTAAGGTTACCACCCACGTGGACCTTGTGGGGCACTGACAATGGAAATACAGCAGCCAATCAGTTACAATGTTACAGTAGAAGCACACCCATTAATTACAATACATTCCTCCCCTCTGCTTAGGAGATAATTGAGTTAATCGTTATATCAGCTCTATTACCATGCTAAAAAATAAACTTTTCCACATTTTTCATAACTTTGAAACTATGCATAGGATTTTAACCAAAGTTACATTTTAATGATCAGTACATTCAGGGGAACAACATATCCAAAAATGGCACGAATTGGACCAGTGGTTCGGGAGTTAGTAAAAAGGTGGATGTGACCGACCGCTCGCACATTTCTATGCCCAAAACAGTTGCACACTTTCAGTCTCTGCGGTCGGTCTATTTTCCATTTGTAATAAGTGTAAAATGCACGAACGGAACCGTTCGTGCCTACCATTATTGGATGCAGATTGTTCGAATGAATAAACTCTCAAATTAGCGCCTTGTTCGTATAATTCTAGTCGAACGCACGGAAGGTAGAAGTTCAGCGGTGTTCATGGAAAAAGGTAGCCAAAATCAGTTCCACGCAGTCGACGACCAAACACCGCTGAGTGCGTTTGACTTAACAAAATGGCCACTGCCACGTGTTGGCACAGATGAATGCCGACCACCCTGTTAATCCATTAGAATGTTGAGGTGTTTGCGGTTTTTACAGGTCAAGAGGGTTAAGTGGTGCCACACTCCTGCTCTGGGTGGTCGGTCGTATATATTCGGTATACAAACGTTTATGGCCAAATACATGATCAATCCTTTTTAGTGAATGCAAATAAACGAATGGTCTTTGTTCTCAGCTCCATGAAGCATATATATGGCTTGAACAAGGGTTTTTGTGTACACTGTTGGGTTAGGGTTTCCAGGCAATAACAGGGGGTTTTGTTACAGCCTCCTATGCCCATATAACATACAAAGTTTTAAAATCCCAGGGAGCAATGACCCAGTTCCAGGACTTCTTGGTAAGTAGGGCTCCCGAGGTGTGCTCTATTCCTCCAAATGGGTGCCTGCTAGCATCAAGAAGGACATCTTGGAAGGAAGGATATCAATCTAGTATCACTTCTCATTGCTTCTCAAGATGTCCTTGAGAATAAAACTTATGAATATGGGGACGTGTCTGTAGTGTTAAAATCTAGGGACCCTAGATTGAATCGCAAGCTATCCATACCCGAATTTGTGTTGGCTTTTGGGATCTATAGAGACATGATATGCTCTGTATATCCTGATAGGAGGGAAGAGTTGGATCTCTATCTCCACAAGCTGTTGGATTTGGGGCACAAGTACGGTTGCACGTCTTTTTACGACTACCACCGTGCATTTTCTGCAAAGGCGTCGGCAGCTCTATCCCAGTTTAATTATCAAGCTGACTGGGGGGTGCTTGATATGGAGCTTTTTTGCCGACACTTTGCGGGCCTCAAAATCCCAGCTTGTGCCATTTGTGCGTCCAATTCCCAGAGGTGAATGCTCTATTCCCCCTTATAAATATGATGCCCACTGGTAGAACAGGCAAGGTACTAAAGGATAAACTGGGACGTGATTTAGTGTTTTGGGGAAAATCTCAAATTTGTAATAATTTTAACACCAGCACTTGCGGCTACAGTGCTTGCAGACTACTGCATGTCTGCTCCCAATGCTTCAGGGCTCACTCTGAGGTCATGTGTCCGAATAAATTATATCCCAAGCATTTCCTTTCGTCTCTTAATGTCTCCCTGCTGAAAGAGTTATTGTGTGATCACCCATCTCAACATCTCGTAGATTTTCTGGTGGCAGGGTTCGCTTTGGGGTTTCACACTGGTATTGTGCACATGCCTACTGGGATCCTAGAATGTAAGAACTTGCAGAAGGCCCAAGCAGCTCCCGACACAATTGACCTACTTCTACAGAAAGAAATTGACCAAGGGGTTCTAATTGGCCCTTTCGACTCCCCGCCTTTCGCGGTTTGGAGAACTAACCCCATAGGACTAGTCACAAGTAAATCCTGCAATAAGCAGAGGTTGATTCTGGACCTCTCTGCTCCCCACGCTTCACCTACCCCAAGTCTTAATTCGCTTATTCCATCTGAGGAATTTTCTCTCCAATATACGACCATAGACCATGCCATCACGGCCATCCTCTGGACGGGAGTGGGGGCATGGCTTAGTAAAACAGACATAGTGAACGCATTTAAGTTACTCCCTATCCATCCCTCCCTGTGGCATTTACGTGGTGTTAAGTGGCATGATTCATATTATTTTTTCACGCGTCTCACGTTTGGGTCTAAGAGCAGCCCCAGGATTTTTGATATATTCGCTGAGACGTTGTGCTGGATGCTGCTTAACATATGTAAATGCCCTACCGTTATCCATTATCTAGATGATTTTTGTCCGTGGAAAGTAACCTCTTACCTCCCAGTAGCCTCCTTTCTACAAAACGACCATTTCACCCACAAAGACTGAAGGTCCGGATACGATCATTAAATTCTTGGGGGTGGTGCTGGACTGTGCATAAGCAGGCTAGCCTCCCCGGGGAAAAGATTGAACGCATCCTTTTAGCCATTGACCATTACCTAGCAGGTGGTTCTTGTAATAGAAAGGAGTTGCAATCCCTGTTGGGTTCACTTAATTTTGCAATGAAAATTATACCACAAGGGAGAGCATTTATATCACGATTGCTGAGCTTATTTCCCCTATTACAATCTGATTCATCACGCATTACATTAGACATTCATGCTACCGCTGACCTACGCATGTGGAGGGAATTCTTGCTGCACTGGAACTTTTCATTCCAGTATGGACGAATAAGTCAGGTCTGTATGGACAGATGCAGCAGCCACTTCGGGATTTACCGCAATTTTTGGCAATGAATAGATGTGGGGTATATGGCCGAGGGAAATTAATGAGATTCCCGAGTTTAAAGACACCTCAGCATTATTTGAGCTCTACCCGATCGTGGCAGCAGCAGTTAAATGGGGTGCTTGCTGGTCTGGGAATACGGTGCGTTGCTTCTCAGACAACATGGCAACATGCCATATTGTAAACAAGGGACGTTCCACTTCCCTGGCCATCATGCGATTTATGAGAACTCTCACGTGGCTAGCTGCAAAACACAGTTTCTTCTTAACGTGCATACATGTTCCTGGGGTTCTGAATATCGCTGCTGATCATTTATTGCAGTCTCGATTTCAGGAGTTCCGGGTGGCACTACCAACAGCTACCCTGATACCAACTCCAGCGCCGTGGTGGCAGGAGATGGTTTGGGACTAAAGGAACTACTCACTCACGGGCAGCAACTCTCTCAAATGGGTCTTTCAGTTAACACCAGGAAGGCATACGGCAGGGCCTTTCATGTCTTTAATAAGTTTCTGCTTGGCTACAAGATCACCAATTTTCCATGGAAACAATGATTGCGTTCATTTCCTTTTGCCACCTTCGCCTAACACTATCATTCAACACTATTAAGTTATACATCACCGGTATTCAACATCACATCCTCACTACTTGGCCTAATAAACAACGCTTTCTGTCATCTTACCAAGTTAAAGCTATACTTAAAGGTATCAAGGACTCCACCCCTACACCCACACCATCCAGATTACCCATCCACAATCTCCCGTTCCAGTCTCTGTCAAACCTGTTAGACACTTCACCATTTGAAACTCACACTAATCATGTCATTAAAACAGCCATCTATTTAGCTTTTTACGGCTTCCTTCGGCCCAAAGAATTTACCACCTCTAACTACTGCACCCCCAACTTTATCACACGGTCAAACCTGGTAAAAGCACACGATCACTATTTACTGTCCCTACACCATATGAAGACAAGTACCAAGGGTCAGAAGGCCACTATTACCTACTACCCCACTGGTAATAGATGGTGCCCCGTGGAAGTGTTCGGTCAATACCTCTCCTCCTTTCCCTCGGCTCCAACCCAACTTCTAGCCTTACACGGGAATACGCTCACTACGAGCAAATTCATGCTCTATGTAAGGATGTTGTTGGTTTGATTAGGCTTGAACCCAGCCGAATATTCCGGTCATTCACTTAGAATAGGAGCAGCTACTAACGCTTCTAGAAGGAATATTCCGGCCCACATCATTAAGATATTAGGCCGATGGAAGTCCACGGCTTACACCTGATACATTCCTCAGCTGGTATAAGAGGTGCGCCTTGCATTTAAAAATATGATTATGTGATATTCTATGTTGTATTGTAGGCTGAATAAACTGGTTACACCTTTTTTGCCCTCTTTTATTTCAGGCCTACTACCTCGTCAGTTACGGCACACCACAACTGACTTGCTCCATGTTTGTTTTATGTTACTCATTCTACGGCTTTATGCCCTGACCACAAATGGAAGGCAGGGCCTGAAGTTGTGGGAGGGGCTTGGTTCCCCTTCTTAAGGAGCACCAGCCCTTCCCTCAGTACCGTCTGAGGTCTGGTGATTTCTCCCACCCACCACACTTCCTTTTATAAATAGTTCATAAGATAGGCCCTCTTTTATTTCAGGCCTACTACCTCGTCAGTTACGGCACACCACAACTGACTTGCTCCATGCACTGTTTGTTTTATGTTACTCATTCTACGGTTTTATGCCCTGACCACAAATATATATATATATATATATATATCTCTATCATAAAGTAACACAAAACAGAAAAGGGTGCGCCTTAGAAAATATAAAAATAATAATAACATAGAAACATAGAATGTGACGGCAGATAAGAACCATTCGGCCCATCTAGTCTGCCCAAAACTTATCATAAGTCCAATATGGTGAAATCCACGCTCAGTGAAGCATATGGGGAAAGAAAACACAGAAACGGGACTCCAATGGTACAGTATGTAGATAAAATGAGATAGTAAAATAGTGGTAATAAGTACTACTCACAATCTCCAGAGCTAATATTGCCATATTCCTTTTTATTATCCTTATTTTATTTTATAAGTTTTTACCTGACTACATCGATGTTCAAGAAGCACAAAGAATCCGCCGGTGGGGATTGTACCACCCATACGCTTACATTGAACAGTATAGCCTGCTCTACATATTGTGAGTAAATTTCAGATATTTTATATCTTTTTATTCATAAAGACACAGTGAGCACTATATTTTATTCCTTTTATTCTGGGCTGGATCGCATCAATATTGGACTACTGATTCGTCTTATACACCTGCCAACCAGTACCACTTCACATATCCTTGAGTGGGGATCATTCCACTTCACGCATTCCATACCAGAGCTGGATTTTAGCTCTGGAGATTGTGAGTAGTACTTATTACCACGAATTTACTATCTCATTTTATCTACATACTGTACCATTGGAGTCCCGTTTCTGTGTTTTCTTTCCCCATATGCTTCACTGAATTTCAAGTACACACCCATGAAGACTGATTCCATTTACTGTATTTCAAGAGTTCTTCCTATGAGCGTGGATTGCACCATATTGGACTTATGATAAATCATTTGGATTAGTATTATTATTTTTATTATCTTTTCTAAGGTGCACCCTTTTCTGTTTTGTGTTACTTTATGTTATATTTATTTTAGGGGATTAGAGGGGACTCCCCTTTTTTCCTTGAGGTGTGCAGCCTTGTACGTTTTATAAATTTTGTTTTTTCTGTGGCAGCTTAGCGCTAACTCCGTTCTTGGATATATATCTCTCTGTCCTCTAACATATCTAACATTGCTCTGAACATTTTTTTTTTGGCAGATGTATCTGATTATAGTTTA